CATCAGGTGATGCGAACGAATAAGAGGAACTCCAATCATAGAGTATTCTTTCACAACATTTTCATCAAATAATGTGTTCATGGCATTGATAATTACTTTGTGATCGGACTGCTCCATAGCTGAAAGTAATACAAAAGCATTATTTCTTGCTGGAAAATATGGATGATAATTAAGCATTTTCTCCAACAATTGAATCATTTGAACTTTATTAAAATTTGGAGAATTTGTTATTTTTCGATATAAATAATCTTCCTTTTGAACACAAGCAGAAACCAACGATAATAAAGTTTCACATAGGATCAGTTCAAATATAGTACGATCAACATCATTGAAATTTATCATTTTGAGCATTAACCATTGAATTAAATTTTCCATTAGAACAATATTTATCGAAAAATTACTCAATAAATTTAATACTGTTTTATTGACATCATTTGAAACAGTTGAAATTGGCATGTATCTGTTACTGCTAGTAATCTTGTAAATTCAATCCAATCATCTTCCGTAATCTGAGAACGTCTTGCTAAATGCATCGTATAATGAAGTAGTCTTTCTATATACAATGGATGTAAAGATAATTCTAAAGTTCGCATTATTGAATTCCAAGTATGATTATTTATGAAGTAAAGTTTATCTAGAAATTGGATTCTTCTTCCGCTAACAGAATTTCTCTCTTGTAATTGATTTACATTTTGACATAAATTGTGAAAAACTATAGGATCATCCCACAGAAAGTCATAGAAAAATGTAGAGAAATAAGTACGAACTCTTGAAAGATGTTCTTTCGCCGAAGCATGTTCAAGGATTTTCATCATTGTTTTTTCTCCTAATACAGATAGCCTCTTACTTGGCTTCTGAACATATCTTTCGGGATGTTGAAAAAGTCGTTGAGCTCTATCTAGTAAATCTATAATTGTTTCAACTGCTGGTTCAAAAATATGTTTTATTTCGGCAAGTAAAAGAGCTGATAACTTTTTAATTTGACTGTTATCATATTGAGTAAACCATCTCTGAACAATCGGTAATACTTCATTGGACGGTTTCTTAATATAGGGGAAAAGCATTGATGTATTATTTTCTTTTCCTTATTTGTGGCGTTAAAAATATTTAATCATGTAAACCAATGTTTAATATCTTTTTTATATTTGACTGATTATCAGTATCTTTAAAAAGGTTAATCCATAATTGATCGATGTCATCGGTTTTATCAATAACTAATATTGTATCATGCAATTGTGCAACCAACACAAATAAAGATTGAAGCTCCGTATAATTTGGAATATCGACAATTTGTTTGTTATTATTCTCATTTTCTAAATCTTGACTTATATCTAAATTTAAGTTTGACTGAGAAATTTGTAATGTTTCAGTAAATAATATTCTTCCATAATAAGAATTGACACAATAATTATGCATTTTGTTCTTGAGCGTTTCTATCATTCCATTCAGTTTGATTAGAAGATCATCATAAATACTAATTAATGGTTTCATTTTAATGATTAATTTGATTTTATCATTATCTTCATTCATTCGGTCAAGTGTTTCTATAGCAATAGCTAAATACTTTTTTCGAAATTCTCCTGATCCATAAAATGATAATCTTATCGATGCGATAGTTCGATTATGAAGATCATCACTATCGTCAAATATTAAAATTAACTCGTCAACAATCTTTTGAATGAAGAATTTGCGATCTACTTCCTTGTAATGAACAATACTAAAAAATTTTCCAATATTTGAAACTTTAAAGTTGGCTCTTGAATATTTTTTTGTTAATATAAAAGATTCATTTAACAATTCATAACTTTTTTCATCATAAAATTCAGCTAATTGATACAATGCTCTTGATTTATATAAGGATTACACATGGATTGAATTCGTTCTAATAAAAATTCTTTTACATCTGACTTTTCTACTAATTCAGGTAGTAATTTTCTGTAAATTCCAAAATGTAATAATACGACTAATGGAATCAATTCTGGATTTGTATTGAAACATCCGTTTTTAAGAAAAGTTTCAGAAACGGTATCAACTAAGAACGCTATTTTTGTATTTATATTCTCTAAACAGTTAAACAATGCTATTGGTATATCATTATCATTATTTAATTTAAAAGTAAATATATCTGTTACCCATGGGTACCCTCGAACTGATCTATAAATTTGAATTGTATCACTAATTTTTAAAAATGATTTTATAATTTGATCAGGTTCACTTGACGAAATGCACTTATCACATAATACAGCAACTTGATATTGAAAATTATTAGCTGCGCCAGCGATCTGAAAAGCAAAGTATTCTGCGTATAAACTATGTTTATCTTCAATATTATCTACAGCTTCTGCTAATATCCTAGTGTCTATTGGTAAACCTCCACTATTGGCTAATATCGATAAATATATTCTGCAATAATGTAAAAAGTTAATGTCAAACAGTGACTGATTTGCTTTCATACGATTATAAATTTCAAGTAAATATTTGGAAATATGCGAAGACCATCTTGCAATCGGATCTTTCAAAATATCGATAAGTTGTTCAATTCTGTTTCTGAAACTTTCTATGAATGTTCCTTCTTCTTGTGCTATAAGAGTATTTATGAAGTCGAAGTCACCTAAAACGATTAATGCGATGGATACTTCCACTTTTTCACTTTTGCTTAATTTTTGACTGTTAATTTGTTTGCGTAAGTCTTCTGTTAATTCTGTTGTAGATTTTTTT